TTGCAATAATCAGAACGAATGACCGAGGAACCTGGGCATGTGGCACTGGGCGTTATAGTACAGGGCCTTGCTTAAAAAGAGAATCACTGCTCTTGGAAGCTTCTGGGTTTAGGAGTCCCCTGGGCAGGAGGGGCCTAGGGGCCCCCAAACCATTGAGGGAGACCATGGTTCCCCTGTTTCCCATCCCTACTCAATAGAACAACGGTTGAAACCTGTAACAAAATGTTGCAGTAGATGCTTGCTTTCTTTATCCCAGCTCTGCTCTAGTTTTCTGTTTCTGGGGGTTGGCCACTGAGGGAAACAGGAGTGTGGACTAGATGGGCTTTTGGCTTGATATAGCACCATGGGAGTGTGTGTGCGAGTCTCTGTCTGTGTACAGTGGTGCCTCGCTAGACAGTTACCCCCGCATGACAGTTTTTTTGCTAGACATTAACTTTTTGCGATCGCTATAGCAATTCGCAAAACAGTAATTCCTATGGGGGATTTCGCTGGACAGTGTTTGGTCCCTGCTTCGCAAAGCGATTTTCACTAGACGACGTTTTTGACAGCTCCCTCCGCGCTCGCAAAACAGGTGTTTTCGGGACCTAAGCTTCGCAAGACAGCTATTTAAACAGCTGATCGGCGGTTCGCAAAGCGGCTTTCCTCCAGCCGATCTTTGCTAGACAACGGCGATTCTTCCCGATTGGAATGCATTAAACAGGTTTCAATGCATTCCAATAGGGAAATGCTTTTCGCTAGACGATGATTTCACTAAACAGCGATTTCAGTGAAACGGATTATCGTCATCTAGCAAGGCACCACTGTATACCATTCTGACGCCATGTGAGTGTACTGGGTCATTGGTCAGGCCTGCAGTGTATTTGTATATTTGTGCAGAATTAGAAGTTCCCCTTCTGACTTCCTTTTTCAGACTGTCTTTGCATGTAACCCCGTTTAACCAAACACCATTCCTCCACCTCGCCACTTCATGGCTCCAGCCCTTGATGATGATGAAAGCTCAGGTTCCTTTCAAGCTGGTGGCCTTCCGGTCACTGCTGTTCTGCAGGTCGATCCTTCTTGATTCCTCCGCCTCGCCACTTCATGGCTCCAGCCCTTGATGATGATGAAAGCTCAGGTTCCCTTCAAGCTGGTGGCCTTCCGGTCGCTGCTGTTCTGCAGGTCGATCCTTCTTGGGCTGTTCTGTAAATCTTTAGCAGCCTTTCAGGATTAAAAAAAAAAAGTTAGGATTTTAAAAATCAGAATTTAATGTTATTCCACCCTCCGGTACTCTTGTCCCCTCTGAACTTTGTCGGATCTCTGGTTCCTCCAGAGCCATGAATTTTAGAGTGACGTGAACCTGGATGGATAATTAAGATCCATTAGCTTTCCATAATACTTTGCACCAACAGGGAGGGGGAGGGGAAAGGTAGAACAATTTTAATTGACATGGATCAAGATATCTCTTGCATTTTTGGATCTGTCCTGAGAAATACCTGCATTTCCACTTCTACTTTGACACTCCAGGTGCCCAGATCTCCCAGCGAAGTGTCTGCATTTCCCCCCAGTTAACTCCTGGTTAATGGCTCATCTCGGGAAGACAAAGAATGTGCACTTGATTAAAGATTAAGGCAGTTCCACAACGACATTGACTCTGACCAGATCTCTTTCTTTATCCACGTATAGATTTTGCCAGAGTGGCCAGGTTTATTTACGATGCCCACTGCCGAATTTCTTGCCGGCTGGCTTTCGGGTAAGACCACTATTTTATAAGCTCGCCTTTATCTCTTTTCACAAGAGTAAACTGAGCACCCGGCTCACTGGGGGTGGGTGGGGTAGCCAATGTGTAGCTTGCATAATTAAGTTGTGAATCGCCCAGAGATTGCTCGAAGCGCTACACGATGGTATATACGCAGCACGATTTCTTTTTTTTTTTTGCTTTGTTAAATGGTCTTGCCCGTTCGGTGACTCGTTAGAATGGGGACCTGCTTCACTTTGAAGCTTCTGGCAACTACAGTTTACCTCCCCCCCCCCAGCCCAAGAAGCTGGGGAGAAAGGAAAAGATGATGCGGATGGGAAGTCATAATTAATGCCAGGAAACATGGGGAGGTGGTAGTAAGACCGCTCCTTAAAAGTTTCACTTACTTTGAAAGCCCCTTTAGAGTTCCTATAAGCCAGTTCCAATGCAGTAGCGCATAACACAAATATCCTAGCATTGTTCTTATGAGTTATCCTCAAGTTTTTGGGAGAACGAGATCTATTAATGTTATTCTAAATGGCATATAATATTTTTAATGACATTCCACCCCTGGCTGCCTTGACCTCACTATTCACAAATCACCTGAATGGACCTAAGGCTGCATCCTGTATGTGTGTGTTCTGTGCTGATTTATAACAACCCTAATAAGGCTTTCAAGGTAAGTGAGATATTTAAGAAGTGATTTTATCAGTTCTACTTTCCAGTGAGTTTCCATGGCCAATTCGGAATTTGAACTCTATTCTCCAGAGCCCTAGTCCATCATTCTATCCACTACACAACACTAGGAATCTCCCAAACCATGTACAGTGGTGCCTTGCTTAACGATGATCTCGTTAAATGACGATTCCGCTTTACGATGAGGTTTTTGCGATCACAAAACAATGTTTAGATAGGGAAAATTCGCTTGACGCTGATCGGTTCCCTGCTTCAGGAACCAATTTTTTGCTAGACAATGATTCTAAAACAGCTGATTGGCGGCTCTGAAATGGCTGCCTGCTTGCAAAATGGATCCCTGCTGTGTTTTAGGATGGATTCCTCACTTTACAGGCCCCAGGAAATGGCCGCCCTATGGAGGATCTTCGCAAAACGAGCAGGTATTTAGCCCACTGGAACGCACTGAACGGTTTTCAATGCATTTCAATGGGTTTTTACTCAGTTTATACGTTGGCTTTCTCTTTTACAGCCAAAGTCCAGAGCTGGTGTTTTTGACTGTGGTCCCTCACGCCATAATAATGTTCAAGGTATTTTTATTGTTAGCCGCCCAGAGTAGACTTTGGTCTAGATAAATCTAATAAATAAATAAAGGTACGTGAGGTGTTCGTAAAAGGGCATGCGATGCCCACACACCAATGAGCAACCCCATATAGCCAAGCAGGAATTTAAACCTCAAGTCGTGATCTGACATGCTTCTTCCGACCCCCCACTGTTTCCTCCCCATTCCCTAAAAAAAATGTACTTGTCGTTTTTTGTTCCCGTTTTTCTTGTTCAGAAAAGCAGAGTGGGGCAAAACCTTTCTTGCTTGTGAGTGGAGCATTACAAAAGCTGGCATGGGGCGGGGGGGGCGGTAAAATCTAGAAATCACATAGTTTAGAAACCATACTTTGCCCCCCCCCAAGCAAAAGGAATTTGCCTCTCCTTTGAAAAATCATTGTGGCTGGGTATTATAGCTGCAAGATCTGTACAGCGATAGGGTCGTAGGAGGCAACCGCTCTCTGGTTCCGCAGCATGATACCGAAACTACGGAGCTCTCCAGGAATCCATTAAATTTTCGAAACCTTTTATGCTTCCTTTTCATTTTAAAAGCTCTCAGAGCCATTTATAACAAACAACTAAGCTGAAAATTAAAAAAAGTTAAGAAATTAATAAAATAATTCACAAAAAAACCCCAAGCGGCTGGGTATTATAGCTGCAAGATCTGTACAGCGATAGGGTCGTAGGAGGCAACCGCAAGGCAGAGAGTTCAGCCTTAAAAAGCCAGCTTGAGATGTCGCATTATTAGGCTTCCCTTCAAGGCATATAGAATCCATAATTCACAACGCCTCTCACTATCCAGGAAGTTGACAAAGTTTTACTTGCCATCAGCTTTCGCGGACCCACGCAGTGGGGCTGCACTCTAAAGAAGCTTACCCCGAACAAAGCTTGTTTTGTCTTTCAACTAACACAACAAACGAGCACGGCTCTCTCCAGGGGCCAAACCAGGAATAGGACGTGGGTGGATGAAATGCCACAGGACAGAAGGGTCCCATCCACGCCGCAATGAGATCACATTTTTTGGTGGGACAACAAAAGTCCAAATCTCTCTCAGCCAGGGAGGAATTCTGAGTTGTCATCCAGCAACTCCAGCCAGGGAGGAATTCTGTTGTGAGTTGTGATCCAGGCTTCTGCCCCAACCAAAGAAAGTTTGCCAAGCTGACAAATTCCAGAACTTTCCCGCACACTGTCCTTTTTTTAAAAATTGATTTCTGAAAAATCCTCACCCCTCTCCTGGGGTACCCTTTTTAACCCCAGTTTCACCACTGAAAATGATGCACAGCTATTTTATTTTTTTAAAAAAATCCTAATAAATTCAAAGCCAGCGCGCACCTGTTTGAATTGTCAATCTCTGTTTTACATTCATGGCTATGTGTCTTTTTCCAAAAGCAACCAAAATATTACCTGTTAGGTGTTTTACCGTATTTTTCCCTGTATAAAACTATACTTTTGTCTAAGATCTTTAGACTAAAAATTGAGGGTCGTCTTATACACGGAAGTAAGCTGAGGAGAGAACAAACACAAGTTTGTTACTTTGACATATAAAGCCCTAAACGGCTTAGGACCTGGTTACCTAAAGGCCCGCCTTCTCCCATATGTGCCTGCCCGTCCTCTAAGATCAGGCCAGGAGGCCCTTCTGAAGGTGCCATCCCTGAAAGAGGTGAAGGGGATGGCATGTCGGAATAGGGCCTTCTCGGTTGTTGCCCCCCAACTTTGGAACACCCTCCCTAGAGAGATCCGCCTGGCTCCGACACTCTTGGCCTTTCGGCGCCAGGCAAAGACCTTTCTGTTCACCCAGCATTTTAATTAATTATTCTCCCGGCCACAGAAAGTTATTAAAAATTTAAATGATTTTAAAAAAACACACATCAGAAGCAAAATAAATGTTGATGCTGCCCTTCAGACATTCAGGCACCCCATTGACTCTTGATGGAAGTAAAGCATCAGAATGCTATATATGCTGTCGTCCTGGGAGACAAGACACACTGGGTGAAATCTTGTTGTGCAGTTACACAAAAGGGAGACTTAACCCTTTGAGACCCAGGGAGTTGCAACCCCAGGTTCTAAAGGGGGCGGAGCCAAGAGGGGCGGGGCTTACAGGCGACACCTGTCCAGGTGAGCAGAAACCAGGGGAGAAGAAGGAAGTGGGGACCGGGGGGGGGGGAAGGAGGAGGAGGCGCGTAAGAGAAGGACCGCGGATAGCCGGGACACTGGGAGGGGGGAGGAACAGCACAAGAAAGGCTGTTCTTCCTAAAAGACACCCCCCCCCAAAAAAAGAGGGAGCCCCTCTTACCTGCCCACTTCCTCTGCCAGGCTGGAAAAACTCTTCTGAAAACTCTTACCCAGGGCCCCACCCCTATTTGCTCCTGACGTCACTCCCATCCGGCTCCCGGATTGGCTGCTCCTTTAATGCGTCCTCTTCCTCCCCCTCCCCCCCGAAAGCCCGGAATTCCGCGGGGGCGGGGCGTCGGGCGGGGCTAGCCCCCTTGCGCGCGAGCTCCGCCCCCTCCATAGAAACGTCACCAGGGAGGAGAATCCGCAGTGCCCGTTTGGTAGGGGGTATACGGTAGGGAGCGGCGGAACGGGCGCCCACTGGGAAAGGGATGCCTGTCCGGAATGAATGGGGGAACTAAGATAGGGTTTGATCTAATTATGAAATATTGGGGGGCTAAATGGTTTTTCCCCAGTGTTTTTCAGACTTTTACCCGATTACTTGGGAGTCAAGGCTTAGAAAACAATGCTTTCCCCCGTGTTTGTTTTACTCTGTGCCCTCCGAACTCAAAACAGGGGGGGGGACCTGAGCATTTCAGCAACAGATTGTTTTTTACTGTTCCCAGCGGTCCCACGCAGGACAGTTGCTGGGGAGGGATAATGGGCTTTGTGATCCTAATCATCTAGAGGGGCCAAAGGCTGACTGCCATGCTTCTATCCCTTGCTCCTGTCTGTCCCTTCTGCACTTAATGGAAACTCCTGTTCCAGTTAACAACAACGAGCCTCCATGTTCAAGAGCAGCCAACTGACAGACTGAGGTTAAAGTGTACTGTAATTTACATGCTTCCCATTATTTTGACTTTGGTTTTCCAAGGGCCCCAAAGCAGCTTGCAAAGATCAGGAGCGAGATAGTCCCAGCAGAACAGCCTCAAAGATGTCATCCAAAAGGAGGGAGGAGGAAAAAAAAACTGGAGCATGCACTCAAGGTTTGGTACAACAAAACCCATAGCTCTCGTGTCCCCTGCCTGCCTGCCAACTTTGGATTGGACTAGAATACCCATCATCCCCAGCCAGAGGCGATTGTGGGTGGCAGTCCAAGTCCCCTCCAGGGCACAAGGGGTCCAGGACAGACCATCTGAAGCTCCACAGAGCCTCGTCCCTATAGTCAGAGAGGCTCTCCTGTGGAATTTCAGCCTGTGTTGCTGAAGTTAAAAGCCTAGGTGAACCTTGGGGGCTCATCAGAACATTTGCATTAGCCGGATTTTCCCTCTTTGGAAAACCCCAAATGCAGGCCGCTGGATGAGCCCATTTCAACAAACACAGAGCAGGTCTTTTGTAAACTTAATGACTCTTCATTGTCTATTCAAAAAAAAAATCAGCCTCCCTTTACTATTTTGCAGGGGTGGCCTGCAGCAATACTGTATAATATTCCTGGAGAAACCCATTTCTCTTCGTTGCAATAATCAGAACGAATGACCGAGGAACCTGGGCATGTGGCACTGGGCGTTATAGTACAGGGCCTTGCTTAAAAAGAGAATCACTGCTCTTGGAAGCTTCTGGGTTTAGGAGTCCCCTGGGCAGGAGGGGCCTAGGGGCCCCCAAACCATTGAGGGAGACCATGGTTCCCCTGTTTCCCATCCCTACTCAATAGAACAACGGTTGAAACCTGTAACAAAATGTTGCAGTAGATGCTTGCTTTCTTTATCCCAGCTCTGCTCTAGTTTTCTGTTTCTGGGGGTTGGCCACTGAGGGAAACAGGAGTGTGGACTAGATGGGCTTTTGGCTTGATATAGCACCATGGGAGTGTGTGTGCGAGTCTCTGTCTGTGTACAGTGGTGCCTCGCTAGACAGTCACCCCGCATGACAGTTTTTTCGCTAGACATTGACTTTTTGTGATTGCTATAGCGATTCGCAAAACAGTGATTCCTATGGGGGGATTTCGCTAGACAATGTTTGGTCCCTGCTTCGCAAACCGATTTTCGCTAGACGACGATTTTGACAGCTCCCTCCGTGCTCGCAAAATGGGTGTTTTCGGGACCTAAGCTTCACAAGACAGCGATTTAAACAGCTGATCGGCGGTTCGCAAAGCGGCTTTCCTATGGCCGATCTTCACTAGACAACGGCGATTCTTCCCGATTGGAACGCATTAAACAGGTTTCAATGCATTCCAATAGGGAAATGCTTTTCGCTAGACGATGATTTCACTAAACAGCGATTTCAGTGAAACGGATTATCGTCATCTAGCAAGGCACCACTGTATACCATTCTGACGCCATGTGAGTGTACTGGGTCATTGGTCAGGCCTGCAGTGTATTTGTATATTTGTGCAGAATTAGAAGTTCCCATTCTGACTTCCTTTTCTTTTTCAGACTGTCCTTGCATGTAACCCCGTTTAACCAAACACCATTCCTCCACCTCGCCACTTCATGGCTCCAGCCCTTGATGATGATGAAAGCTCAGGTTCCTTTCAAGCTGGTGGCCTTCCGGTCACTGCTGTTCTGCAGGTCGATCCTTCTTGGGCTGTTCTGTAAATCTTTAGCAGCCTTTCAGGATGAAAAAAAAAAAGTTAGGATTTTTAAAATCAGAATTTAATGTTATTCCACCCTCCGGTGCTCTTGTCCCCTCTGAACTTTGTCGGATCTCTGGTTCCTCCAGAGCCATGAATTTTAGAGTGACGTGAACCTGGATGGATAATTAAGATCCATTAGCTTTCCATAATACTTTGCACCAGCAGGGAGGGGGAGGGGAAAGGTAGAACAATTTTAATAGACATGGATCAAGATATCTCTTGCATTTTTGGATCTGTCCTGAGAAATACCTGCATTTCCACTTCTACCTTGACACTCCAGGTGCCCAGATCTCCCAGCGAAGTGTCTGCATTTTTCCCCAGTTAACTCCTGGTTAATGGCTCATCTCGGGAAGACAAAGAATGTGCACTTGATTAAAGATTAAGGCAGTTCCACAACGACATTGACTCTGACCAGATCTCTTTCTTCCACGTATAGATTTTGCCAGAGTGTCCAGGTTTATTTACGATGCCCACTGCTGAGTTTCTTGCTGGCTGGCTTTCGGGTAAGACCACTATCTTATAAGCTCGCCTTTATCTCTTTTCACAAGGAGCAAGATAGGGGGTCCGACTGTCCTCTGTAGTCCTCTGTACAGTTGTGCCCCGCTGGACGATTACCCCGCTGTACGACAAATCTGCATTACGTCGACGATGTTTTAAATGGGCGATTTTCGTTTGACGATGATCGGTTCCCTGTTTCGAGAACTGATTTTTCGCTTTACGAGGATCAGCAAACAGCTGATCGTTGGGTTTCAAAATGGCTGCCGGCTTTCAAAATGGCCTCCAGCTGTTTTCTGGGACGGATTCCTCGTTATACAGGCACCGAAAATGGCCACCGTATGGAGGATCTTCGCTGGACGATGAGTTTTTCAGCCCATTGGAATGCATTGAACGGGTTTTCAATACGTTTCAATGGGATTTTTTCGTTTTGTTTGACGATGTTTTCGCTCTACAGCGATTTCGCTGGAACTAATTAACATCGTCAAGCGAGGCACCACTGTACTTCGTTGGTACAGTTGGCTTTCTCCTTATTAGCTTTCAAAGTTCACATCTTTTTTAAAAACCTCTTAGCAGTATAATAAACTGAATCATATAATCAAGTCTCATCTAGCATGTGAGATATTTTCTTCCGGCATCATTTAAAGCTGTGAAAATTCTATGTAGGGGTGGACCGAAGGTTAATCTTCCTTTAGTTATCTGGGTAATTTTCAGTAAATCAGCAAAGATGTCTGGAACTCAAATGTTTCCTAGTAGGTAGTCCCAGTGAGTTCTTCTTATTGCACTCAGTTTATACGTTGGCTTTCTCTTTTACAGCCACAGTCCAGAGCTGGTGTTTTTGACTGTGCTCCCTCACGCCATAATAGTGTTCAAGGTATTTTTATTGTTAGCCGTCCAGAGTAGACTTCGGTCTAGATAAATCTAATAAATAAATAAAGGTACATGAGGTGTTCGTAAAGGGGCATGCGATGCCCACACACCAATGAGCAACCTCATATAGCCAAGCAGGAATTTAAACCTCAAGTCGTGATCTGACGTGCTTCTTCCAACCCCCCACTGTTTCCTCCCCATGGCCTAAAAAAATGTACTTGTTGTTTTTTTGTTCCCGTTTTTCTTGTTCACAAAAGCAGGTTGGGGCAAAACCTTTCTTGCTTGTGGGTGGAGCATTACAAAAACTGGCATGGGGCAGGGGGGGGGGTGAAATCTAGAAATCACAGAGTTTAGAAAGCATACTTTGCCTCCCCCCCAAGCAAAAGAAATTTGCCTCTCCTTTGAAAAATCATTGTGGCTGGGTATTATAGCTGCAAGATCTGTACAGCGATAGGGTCGTAGGAGGCAACCCCAAGGCAGAGAGTTCAGCCTTAAAAAGCCAGCTTGAGATGTCGCATTATTAGGCTTCCCTTCAAGGCATATAGAATGAATTGTCAATCTCTGTTTTACATTCATGGCTATGTGTCTTTTTCCAAAAGCAACCAAAATATTACCTGTTAGGTGTTTTACCGTATTTTTCCCTGTATAAAACTATACTTTTGTCTAAGATCTTTAGACTAAAAATTGAGGGTCGTCTTATACACGGAAGTAAGCTGAGGAGAGAACAAACACAAGTTTGTTACTTTGACATATAAAGCCCTAAACGGCTTAGGACCTGGTTACCTAAAGGACCGCCTTCTCCCATATGTGCCTGCCCGTCCTCTAAGATCAGGCCAGGAGGCCCTTCTGAAGGTGCCATCCCTGAAAGAGGTGAAGGGGATGGCATGTCGGAATAGGGCCTTCTCGGTTGTTGCCCCCCAACTTTGGAACACCCTCCCTAGAGAGATCCGCCTGGCTCCGACACTCTTGGCCTTTCGGCGCCAGGCAAAGACCTTTCTGTTCACCCAGCATTTTAATTAATTAATTTTAATGTTTTAATTGTTTTAAGAAATATTTTAATATATGGTATTTTATACTGTTTCTTAAAATGTTTTTAATGTTTTTAGGTTTTGATGTTGTACGCCGCCCAGAAGCCACTGGCAATGGTGCGGCTAAAAA